GGGCAAACCATTGAGGTAGGCAGGGATCTCTTTGAACAATAGAGATAGATAAGAATCTATATGGACAAACCATTGAGGTAGACAAGAATCTCTATGAACAATGGAGATAGACAGGGATCGATATGGACAAACCATTGAGGTAGACATGAATCTCTATGGACACTGGAGATAGCGGAGGTCGATATTGGCAAGCCATTGCATAAGACAGGGATCTCTATGGACAACGGAGATAGACAGGGGGTTGAGAATTTTTTTATATTATAAATGACAAAATCTCTGAATTATACGGACAAATCATGGAGGTAGACTAGGTGGATTTAAGCAAGGATCTATTACTATATGGATGAACCATGGCGGTAGAAAGGAGTCTCAATATATGCGGATGAACCATGAAGATAGGCAAGGATTTCTATGAATAAACCATTGAGGTAGACGCAAGGATTGGTTGAAATACTACACGTATGTGTCCCGTTTCCTCGATCTCCATATAATTGGCAATAAGTTTAATAATGCTGGCATTATTTCATTTAACCAATCACATTGTTAGTACTTTGATCGAAATTCTTATAGTTTTTTTAGGATCTCCGAAAGCTCCTAGTAGATTCTAGTCTCGCGAAGCGTCTACTGAACATGCCACGTAGCAGTCTAGCTTGCGTGAGAGAAAAATCTAACTTACAACTTAATCAAAGAAGGCGAGGGCCACGCAGGCAAACCTGCATTCAGTTCAGTCTAGTAGTTGTTTTTGATTTTTTTTCAATAAATTCATATATTATGTGAGTGTATAATGGCGAAAGCTGGGTTACCAAGAAACAACTTATTTTTTGAAAAAATAGCGAAAAAACAAACTGTAGAAAGAGACTGTATGCAAGTCTAAGGGTCAGGTTGTAACTTCACACAATTCTTTAACAATAACTTAACAATAAAAATAACTGAAAATTCTGATTATTGACAATATTTAAATTAAACGATCACTTTTCTACTGGAGGATCTGGAAATAACAATACTGAAAAAAGTCTACTTACTGTCGCCTCCAACTTGTTTGCTACATCCACAAACACATCGAGTTTCGGAGATACATCCACGTTTGAACTCAAAGGGTTCATCCACTCTATAGGTCTAAAGAGAATATAACAAATATCCGCTGCTTTCATTGTTGTTATACTTTGCGATATAGTCCTTATATATAACGTGCGTTCCTTACGTAACAAAATGTCGTGTTGTCATGACTACGTTGGTACACATTATATGAATAGGTAAAGCGATTATTTACGTACTGTAAAAAGTATTCTAAATATTCTAATAAATAATAAATTCAATTTGTCTTTGCTTACGTAACAAAAGTCCTTGTCACCCGTATACTCTTGACTGAACTTTTCCAATACAGTTCTATTTTTCTCCAGACAGTCGTTATCGTGGTCTACGTTACACACATAACACTTGAAAGCTGAACCAAATCGCAAGTTGATCACCAACACTATGAAAACCCAAAATATGTTGATATTTTAATAAGTGTTACGTAATATTATAGTAACCAGTGTCGATAATTAAAGCTATAAAGTACATTCTCGTAGTTGAGTAAAAAAAATTAATTACATTTTATACTTACATCCACAGACCAAAATAGTGTACAAATTGTTCATTGTAGATTACGAATATAGTGGCTATAACTTGGTCAGACACCTTATCTGTCTTATGTACGTATAAGTGCTTGTACGCCCAACTGACTATATACCTTGGCCAAACACCTAATGTATGTATCGCCTGAATACTACTACGGACCCTGACGTTTGGTCTAACAATCACCAATTCATCACAGTATTTATTTTAGCAACATAGACGTCGGTAAAATTGACAATTTATTGATTTATGCTCGGATTGCTTCAGTTGTCTGAGACTAAGAACATACCTGTATCCTGGATCAAGACCGCTGTGTCTCCTTCACGTCTTAGTGAATGAAATATTATTTTGTTTTTACTCCGTCATATAATACGACTTGTTGCCAAGTGTTTGTTTAGAGTTACCAAACACAAAATATTCTCAATAAATAATAATAAGCACCGACATTAGTTAACTAATACACGACAAAGTTGTATAAATTCGTACTACTAGTGCTGTCCAATAGAAACCTCTCGTTTCAGTATGAATTGTGAAATCTAGAAATATTTATAAAAATCAATAGTTTCATCAAATTGTACCACAGTGGAAGGTATTTGGATACTGAAATAAAAATAAAATGTGTACAAATGCCTTTTTCGCATCACTGACAATGTAATAAGGCTTTAGATAGATGTCCATCATTTTTGAAAACTATTATTTTTGTCTTATCATTCATTCTCCATTTGTCGCAATAGATGTTTAGTACATCGTCATCCACAAAATTTTAATAGCAAACGGAAAAGTTCCTCTAAATATTGGAAGAGTTGGACACCATGCTGATCAGTTTGTTCAAGCCCCCTAACTAAAATGAAGATAAACACGGGCTCAACATACAATCTTGTCGTACAACGATGGGTCATTCAAAATATTCAGTAAGCCAATTTCCTGTTCTCGCGTATTTTTTGTAATAAATTGTTGTACAATTGATTGTTGTGTCAAAATGCTGTCAAAAGCAGAGTAGACTTGTCTAAACTCTGACTGTGCATCACCGGTGTTGCTAAGGACCTATGCCAAAAACAACAATAACATAAACGCCTGTTTAAAATAGACGTGAAAACTCTATCAAAGATACTGAGTAGTGAGCCCATTTGTGTATATCGGAACTACTATTGCTTCAGCACATAGAAAACGTGGAGAACTTGCTGTGCATATGTGATTTAGATTATGTCTGGTATTTTCAAGAAATCAGTGACATTAATTGATTTATTTATATTTCCTTTGGAAAATTTAAAATCCATGCGCTATAAACTATACTTGTATCGTGACTTCAAAACGTTCGTTGTACGTAAGAATTGGCGCGATCAAAAGAGTCCAACGAATCTGCCAACTTTGTTATTTCAATCAAATTGAAGACGAATTTCATTTTCTCTTCGCACACTGTATCTCCCCTCTCCTTCTATTACAAACCATCTTTTGACAAATATATCCAGTTAATGAAAACAAAAGATGATGTAGTCTTAAAACAATTAGCAATTTATTTTTTCAATTATCTTTTTTATTCATTGAAAATCATACTCGAAATATCAGACTTGTATTTAAATCAATTAGTATTTATTTTTTCTTCATTTTTTGACGCACACTTACCATGTATGTATCAACTTCTATGGGTCAACAATAACCATAACGCCATATGGCCTGATTTTGCGTTGTCGATTAGTGTATACTGTATTTTCTGTGAGTGGAATGCAGAAATCTCGACTTGCAGATAAGTATTGAGGGTCTTAAAAATCAGACTAAAATATATCAAAACTTACTGAATTGACACGTATTATGTATTTTTAACGGGGCATTATTTTTAGCGTAGGTGTAACTGTAATACGTATAAATATGTGATTTCACATAGACCTGCTTCTCTTTTGCGATTCACGGACTATATTGACAAAGCGCCCTCTAGTGTCAAGCATGGTGCTGCACTCAAGTTTTTTTTTACATTTACTGTATGTGGCGATGAGGATGCAAGTAATTTAAGCATACACTTTTCAAATTTTGTTATCAAATAAAAGTGTTCATTTGGGTATTATGTAAACATTTGTGTCTTGAAGACAGTTTCCATGGAAAACAAAAATAAAGTATTATTCAATTTTATCAGTCACACTATTGTTTCACCTTATGTGACCACGCACACTTCTGAGATATGAGAAAATGATTTATTTATTTATTTATTTATTTATTTATTTATTTATTTATTTATTTATTTATTTATTTATTTATTTATTTATTTATTTATTTATTTCAAACATTTTTCCGAAAAACATTGATAGTTTGATAACTTCCAACTCTTTTTATATCTTAAATTCATTGCGTTGGATTTGAGTACTTTATAATGAAATTAGGTCAAAACAATAATTGTATCGATTGGTTTTCATATTCAGCATCTCCATCTTTGTGATTGATTACTTGGAAACACGAATATGAGCATAAGATCAATTAAATCTACTTTTCATTAATGGAGGTTGCGATTGCTTGAGTAATCCCAAAAAAATCACGGTACATGAATCTGTTTTATAATTGTTTATGGACGGGTGCAACTGAATGTATAAACTATTTCAGAGTTTATACTGTTACGCATACATATATGATTTGTCGAGTCATTTGTTATATCACAGTCCCTCTACGGTTATATACACACATTCTTCATTTCGCCCACAATCACATGCCATTCAAACTTTTATAACACATTTTCTTTTACTGTGAACGGCAAATACACAATCGAACACCTTCCATGATCAAAACTAATGCCTGAAGCAACATTTTGCTAAAAGGCCGGTGGTCATCCTGGGTGGTCGTCGCGCCGCGTTCTGTTCGATATGGGACGTATACAACGAGTGCAAAATACTTTGTTTATTTACACCATGGAAGGTACTAACGGAAGGAGCTACGACAACTTTCAAGTGACCACTTAAGCCTCTTAACTGGATTATTTCCTTTTGTTTCAACCCAAGTTAATCCTGATATGTTTACACGAAATTCGAACACGCGCTGCGTTGCGACCACGACCCTTTAATTAAAGTTCAATAATCTTACTTCTAATAATTATATGCGTTTGATAATAATAATTAACATAACTTATCCACCAGACAAAATATCGCAAATTGTTTAGTACATTAAAACATGGAGTATACCTCCATGATTAAAACCAAACACTCAACTTTTTCAGTTCTATATATGGTGGGAGTCCTTTGAAACTTTGATCGTAATATAAATATATAAATGATCAAAAGAAACCATATAAGCCACAGTTATGAATTATATTAATATTTACCTAGATTGTTTCAAAACTTTTATAGAAACGCATGCCGACACGTATTGTTTATGTGCCCTCTTGTTGTCACCAAGAAGTACCCGCGACACAGCAAGTGGACGAGGATAGAACTAAAGAAATGACGTCATAACATGGCGGCTTTTCATATGGACGGAAGCCGTCTCCAATATGCTCACCGAGTAACGTGAATCTCCCGTCCATTTTACTGTAGGAATACTTTTATAAAACCCATTTCAGTAGGTAAGGATATGTTTTCTTGATTCCATGTATTGTTTCCGCCTTGTGTTCAACCGATTTGCTCTGATATATAAAACATGTTTGCGTTTTTGCGGACCCGGACTTTCATCGGCACCGTTCTCCGAATGTCATTCTCTCGCATCGCCATTTCCTGTCGTGTCGACGATATCTCAGCGATGTTTAGTGATTTATCTTAACTGGTATGATCTTATTACGCGACAGTGGCTGTGGAATATTTCAACTGTTTGAGAAAAAAACTGTTAGATTTTTCTGACGTACCAGCCAATAATTATTTCAGTCGAAAAATCATTACAGAATCCGCCTTATTCCAGGTAGATATACCTTCTCCCATTTATTTCAGCTTTCAACCATTATCCAAGATATTTTGTAATATCTGAAATATAAAAAAATGTATATATATAGTTATCTAAGCAATTCCAAACGTTTTCATATTATTTGTTGCTAATATTTTTGTGTGAGAGCATGTTTTTCGAGTGAAAGTAAAATATTGCGCGACGTTTTTCTATTCGCTTTGGGGATCTTGTGTTTTCAAGGTGAAGACAACGAAGAACCCTGCTGTGGCCTCTTTTATTTAGCGCACTATGCGTCATTGATATCACGGAATTTTCTTCTTCACTCCTGTTTTGACTTGAATTTTGATAACAAATTATAAGATATTTTTAAATATATTTATTTGTATTTTTTCTTGTTTATTTGTGTGGCAATTATTTATTTGAAAGTAACACCCCCACAAAAAAAACCAAAAAAACAATTTAGAACTCCTCTGAATTCCCTTCGTTTTGTATATATACATGAAATATTTCAAATTGTCAGAATTTTTTTTGCTATAAATTTGACTACAATAATAAAATATTGCCCGGTGTATTTTTGATGGATAAATTGCTCAATCATGCAGATTATTTATGATACATATCTGGAGTGATGTGTATTTACTGTTATTTGTGTAGATTATATAAATTTTATTGTGAAGTGGTTTTCTTTCCTCTTGCTGCAAGAAAATAGAGCAAAAAGCCCACCATATTGTAGTTTTCAGACGATTGACATTAGACACTGTTGATAAAATATCTGTCTACTTGCTCTAGCTCACCACTTTAGTAACATTATACTTAACATTTTTGTGGTTTACGCTCGGAATCTGGCCACCACCTCAATTTTTTTACATATGATTATTATACGTGTTATAAACATCCTACTGTTTTGGAAAGTACCCTAATTAGGTTTTAAGGCATTAAATAAAAATGATTAGAAGTCATTAAACAACGATGCAGTGATAACCCGTCATAATAACTTTGCATTGTTCACAAATGATGTTTTTGGTGGAGTGAATATTTCTGTTATTGTTGGTAAAAAAAAGGGCTATCTTTCTTTTAAAAATAACTAGTCAGATTGCTTTGATATTGTATATACGTAGGGTGGACCTCTTTCAGTTTTATTGATTTGGTGTCAATAACTTCCATTCTCTACTTTTAGTGAATAGTTTTGTCATTTTTAGTAAAAAAAAAACTATTTCTGATGTCATTTTGAAAATAACATGTATAGATACATGTATCTTTGATGGACCAAAAAATCGCAAGAAAAACATTTAAAAAAATACTAATTGCATGATTCTGTGAAAGAATTTGTTGTGTGTGTGTGTTTGCTTTTGAGTTCAGTTTATGCAACTGAACATTTCCTAGCATCAACTGAGTTCTGTGATGCGATTGGCTAATAAAATATGTTTCACTGATGTACATTTGAAACGCACAATATTTTGTGAGGTAGATATTAAAGTTGTATACTCTTATCTTATGAATCTTTGATGTTTCAAAATAAATATTAATAAACAATTGTGTCTCTATGGTTACAATATAATTCTTTTCACTTCACAGGGATCACAATAATGAAGTGAGATGTTTGTCAGCAATAACATGTTCGTTGTCAATGGAGACAATGGGAATCTTCCCAGTGGCCAGATATTACATGAGTTGGGCTACAAGAATGAACATCATGAACTCCCTAATACTCAAATACATGAAAATCGTTCCTTAGAAATTATTGAGAGTACTCACGATCCAGACAGGAATATTGGTGCTGACAGATCCGGATCGGGTCCAGTTGCTATCCCGTACAAAATAAATATGGAAATGGATGTAATGAATAACGATATTTTGGATTTATCCAAACCAATAAGGGGGTATCCATTGAGAAAAGGTGTTTCCAATATAAGTTTAGACAGTTTAAATGATAACTATATGGATACGGTTGATACGCTTAAGACGATGTCTCAAGGTAGCGGCTCTCGTGAAGGTAGTCTGGAAAATTTACTGGAGTTAAGTCGGACGATCCAAGATTACCATACAGCTGAACAGTTCTCAGAATTTGAAAGATGGAACAATTTGGTGAATCTTAAAAAAAGTGCAACTAATTATGTCGCTGATGATCTTCATTGTGATACTGCAAGCGAAGACACAAATTTTGTTGACCTTGCCAATTCTGAGGGGCCTTGCTTAGAAACTGCACGTGAATCACTCGCCAAAAAAGAACCCCTTTTTTTTGGTGATTTTAACCAGACACAGAAATGTAGAAGTATTTCATCGCAGATACACCATCAACTTTATGGTCCACTCCTCCATTCTGCGCCGGTTGAAAATTCTTTCAGCAATTCTACTATGAGTATTACAACAACCAGTTCGCTTAAATCTGCTGATTTTGCATCAAGTCCTGAAAGCTACGAGATGCTGTACAAAAGTTTTGAGATTGCTGCCTATATGGATGAAGAGGATCGGAAGCAAGGGAGGCAGTTGTCACCTTCTGTTCCAAACATTGAAATGTTATCGCCCAAATTACAAAGACTTCGGCAAATGTGTGACGGTATGCCTACATCTCCTAAACCTAATTTTTGTTCACATCGTGAAAGTCTAGAACGGTTTGAAGAGGAAGAAGCAAAAGCCGAATTAGCTAGTCGTAAGGTGACATTTGCTGATTTAGCTCAGCAAAAGAAAAAACAAGAACAAGAAGAAGTCAGACCACAGTCACTGCCTTTCCAACCAAGCCAACATTGGACAGAACTTTTAAGTTCTTCTAGGACTCCAGACTATGCAATGCAATTTCACCAAACTGACGGATTGTCTCCAAGACGACCACATACACTTCCAATCGGACTGAGGCATGTTACAAAACCTTCCAGTCGACCCTTTCCTAAAGATGTTACTCCAGAATGTGTAAAAAGCCAGGAAAACGTTCATTGTGACAAACTAGAGTCTAGAGTATCTAGAACGTTTAGTGCCCCGGAAGGATTTACTCAATATAACCAAGACTATGGCGTAAAGAACGAAAATGATAATATGTATCATTGTTTTGAAAAACCTGGTAAGTGCCTCTACATAATTTATTCATTTATATTACCCAGTACACCCTTTTTGATGTATAGCCAGCTTTAATGGAACTGATTTTGATATAGGAGCAAAAACTAATCAACTCCAGAGAGGTCTCTTAAAATCTTCAATTACTGACTTAATAACTGCAGTTTCGCTGTGTTTTTTATGTTAAATTTATTCAGCAAGGTGTTTTCATGTATTCTCGGAAAATGCATTTTTAGTAAATCCATATTTCATGGATAATCAATACCAATGAGTGATAGAACATTTATAGCACTTAAATCGTCTGAATGTAAACAGAAATTTTGAGTGATAACAAAAACTTTGGCACCTTTAAAGCAGGAGGGCAGTCATCTGCGCACACGCGGAAATTGAATTCCAAGCGACGATAACAACACATGCTAAAAACGCAAAGGTTCATGGGTAAAACGCTATGGCCTCCTGATGTATGCGCAGGTGACGACTCCCCCGCTTTAATATACAAAAGATACTTCTTTATTGTTTTTCACAAATAAGATCCGAAAATACATAAAATTGTGGCAGAAAATTTTAGAGGGTTACTCTGTCGTTTTGCAACAGTTAACGTTTGTAGCATACCATTTTATGCTAAGCTATTTTTATCAAGAAAAACAACTGAAACATGCATGAGGATGATATATATTTAAATGACAGTACTGTACTCATTTAATGATTCCACTGGGAATAAAAAGAATATTAGCATAATCTAGCATTGCAATAAAGGTTTATATTGTCATGGCAGGTGGCTATAGATAATTTCATAATTAGATAATATATGAAGTTTACTAATTTTGTTCAAATTAGAATAGTCGTGGATATATAAATCCATGCATCACATTTGCATATAAAGTTGATTACTTGAGCTGTTTAAAATTATTTATTTTGATGGAAATAAATTAAAAATTAAAATACAGTGAAAGTCAATTACATTATGAAGTAATAAACAAAACTCAGTGTGTGTAAATTTTAGTTGAAATTAAATGATCTAAATTAAGCTGCTAAAAATAATTACTTCAATTTAATCCGAAAATTATAATAACAAAGTATTTTAGTTAATTTTGTTGAATTTTTCAGTTTTAAAATAGGATGTATAAAATCAATTTTAATCGAAAAAGTAATTAACGTTGAAAAGGAAATAAGGAAACAAAATGTTTATACTGATTTATTTTAGAGGAAGAACACTATGGCAGTGAAAGGATTAAAACATTATAGATTCTGAGATTGAGGTTGAGGTTTATTGGTTTATTCAGTCATCACAGCCCGAGGGTTATTAATGTATCTTACATCATCTGTACTTCAATTGACTTCAATATGTCAAATGCCAAAGATGATCTTCTAATGCATCATTTCAGTTTTTATTTCTCTCATATTTTCTCTATAATTATTGCTTTTTATTTGGTATACAGATACTTTTACTAAACATTTAATTTGGCAAAAGATATATTTTCATTGTTGAAGACGGCACTTCCCATGGAATGAAATTCCCATTTGAGTTAACTCATAATTCCTCCATGGTATTTTGTTTATAATAATGTCTAATATAATTTATTGCCAATGGAATATAGGTGGAATGTTCCCAGTTGAAACATTTCACAAGGATATTCACACGGTATTCATTTTTGGTAAAGACCGTAAAATTATGTTTGGAGCCATTTTATAGACAAGCATTGGTAAATTTATCTTTTAAACTTTACACATGTGCATGACAAGTTATATAACTTAAAATATGGCTGACTGGTGGCCATTTTTTACAAAATGTTAATACTAGTATTTCCCTAAAATATTCATCAAGAACTGCAGACAAAAAGAAATTATGTTCATTTGGTTCAGAATAGTGCAAAATATTATAGAAAAAAAACATAAAATAAGCAAGTTTTTGGCAGGAAATGATGGCCCTCAAATATGAAAATAATGCTGCATTTGACTGGCAATCTCAGTCATTGATGTACCTTAGTTACATGGTATCTGCATTTTACTTGGTGATACAGACATGGTGATTGGATATGAATTATGCTCTTACAATATCCCAATGTCAATAATTGTTTACTAGCTTCCTTTTTTGAATGGCCACACGTAAGAATATTTATCTACATTGCTGTTGCATGAGGCATTGGTGTTTGAGTCTAAACTACTTTTTGTGGGATGGGTACTAACTTGAGCGCTACAGCAGCCATGCAGTGTGAACAAGCAATGTATTTTACAAGCGTTGTATACTGTCACTATGAGTCCCATATCAAACATGACACAGAGTGTCAACTGTAGTGCTTTAACAAACAATAATATTATGATTTATCATAATTCAAGGAGCCATCATATTGTCAGCAGTCCCTGTATGACTTCATAGAAGGATATGTGAACAGGGGTTTGTCGAGAAAAAATGAACAAGAGGGAGCACACACAGGCGGGGGAGCGGAGTGAGAGTAGCTAGCACAGAAACAACATGGTGGATCGACCTTTAAACGCCATATCTGAAGGTTTCTGCGCCGTTTTAACGGTGTATCTATCACCATTGACATTTTTTTGGAGTAATTTTAGTGTATTTAGTGTCCAGACACATTGTCAGCTAGTGTTGTTCATGGAGAAAAATGTATTTGAGAAAAATGTCATGGTGTACGGCAGCACAGAAGTGCATGGCTCAAGAAATATATATATGACTTGAAAGTTCAATCGACAATTCGGTAAGAGAGTGCCAGCCGAGAGTATCAAGGCGCTGTGCCCCTGTTCCCCGGTTTAGAAAAACCCCTGTGTGAGTGCGATAACAGTTTATGTTTGATTAGACATAAACATAATATTTTAATTGTATGCTTGCTGTGAATCATTTCCCTCTTGATTCAAAGTAAAATACAGAATTCATCAGGTCATTAAACCTGATAAACAATTAGCTTTAAAATAACATGCTTTCTGGCTTTAGGGTTCAGCAGATCTTCTAAATAATTCTCAAAAAAAAATTTATGTGTGACCTTGCTTGGTTAAAAGATTTATAAATAATTGAATTAAAATATCAGCCAAATTGCAATCTCTGAAAATATGCCTCCCATGGATACGGGAAACATAAACAAATTGATTGTTAAAACTTATCTCAGTATTTCTAAAAAGTACACTAATCATTGGAAGATCTTTTCCTGGTTCTAGTCTAAAATTCACCAGAATTTAGTATTCCATTAAAGGGAACCTCAATCCGAACAACATAATGACCCCTAAAGAAAAAGCTCCACAAATGTAGGAGAATGCAATTTACACTTTTTTTATATCAGTTTTCATTCTCTAGATATTCAACTTTTCATCGTTATTAAGTAGTCAGCCATCTTGATTCTCAAGCAAAGG